TGTACAATATACGTGCAAGAGATTCAGCAGAATACAAATGCTATCATATAACACATACGATACGAACAAACAAAGGCTCCCAGTAGGCAGCGCTATGCAAACGCTATCAGATGATGCGTACAAAAGAAACTCAAGCTCGCGTCCAGTTCTGTGTATAGGATAACACCACCAATGGGCAGTGAGTGAGTGAGTTGGGTTTAACGCCGCTTTTAACATTATTCCAGTCTTATCACGGCGTGTCAGCTTAATGTGGGAGGAAAGCCCGAAGTGATGCATGTCTCAGACGTTTACCACTTCGGTAAAACCCACGAGCACGGGTATGGTGCTGACAAACCTAGAAACATAATCGGGGCGAACCGGGATTCGAACCCACAATCATAGGTTTCTGGTGTGGCCAAGGGACGCAACTCTGCACAGCGAATCGCGGCGCCTTAGACGACTGGGCCACCCGTGCCCCCCACTAATGGGCAGCATCAAGGTGGGTTTTATACTGCTTGCAGTAAAATAGGTGAATATTCCATCGATATGCTTCCTAAAATAATCAGGCCAACGCGTCGAACTCAAGAGTGAGTGAGTGAGTATGGATTTACGCCGCTTTTGGCAATATTCCAGCAATATTACGGCGGGAGCATTTAGTAGCTTTAACACATCTCATAATTCAAAACACATGTATGTTTGAAGACACGATGCCATTTAGAGAGCGTCAAATATAACAAATGTTTTTCTGGGATAACATTTTCTGAATAATGTACCGATTCTCGTACTTTTTTTAGTCCCGTCCGGATTCGAACCCACGTCTTGTCGTCAGAACACAAAGTCAGCAATCTTACAGACTCAGCTACCGAGGCTTCCATATAGAGTAAACTACGGTTATAACGAACTCGAAGGGACCACTAACTTTAGTTTGTTATAACCGTAGTTCGTTATAAGCATATATACAGCATAGCTATAGCAAATAATCGGGACAAAAAAATCGGTTCGTTATATCCGTCAGTTCGTTATAAGCGTGTTCGTTATAAACGTACTTTACTGTAAATAAAAGTCCGACACTGGTAGTCTAGATCACGAACTTTGTGTACCCCTCTGACATTAGTAAATGGGAGCCGTGCCAGATCTACCAGGATCCGGGGTAGAATAGGTCTTCAGCAACACAATGAGATATCAACATTTCACTGAGCTTCATTGAACTAAAAACAAAAAATGTACAAAAAATGTATTGACATTGCCAAAACATAATAAACAGCGGACCTGTGAAGATCCGGGGAAAAACAGATCTTCAGCAACCCATTCTCGCCATAACAGGCGATTATGCTTGTCCTAAGAGGCGACTAACGGGATCGGGTGGTCAGGCTCGCTGACTTGTTTGATGCATGTCATCGATCCCAATTGCGTGGATCGATGCTCATGATGTCAATCACTGGATTGTCTGGTCGAGACCGCCGTCATATAGCTGGAATATTGCTAACAGCGGCGTTAAACAACAAACAACAATTATATTTCCTAGCCAGGATGATAGATTCAAATTGCCAAGATGGGTCACGAGTTCGAGAGTTCAAACCTTCCCGTCTATTTGTTCACGTGACAACACCATGATACTAGAGGACCATCATCGTGGACAAACAGTGCTCTTTTGTCAACGCTTCTTGTGAGAGTGTTTAGCAGGACCAGTGCGAATCACCTTTGTTGGAGGAAGGTGCCTAGTGACACAGAGCTTAGTCGTGCGCTTATCAATTTGTGCAACCCTAAATCATGGGTATGATGCTGACAAACTAGGAATTACAATCAGTCACATAATAGGCTTCGAACCAAGGATCCTCGGATGGCTAAGGGGAGCAACTCTGCAGTGTTGTTGTCGTATTTTTATGAAATAAGTAATACGTTCCCACTGCTTAAAAAACTATGACGGCGCATTGTGGGTCGAAAAAAGAGTTTCCCGTCCCCGTTCAGAGCAGAAAATATATGTTTTTTAACAATGACTGAATTTTTTTTATTTCCCCAGAATATTACTTTGTCGGTCCCTAAGTCCCACAATGTCCATTGAGAATGTACTATTTGTTTGTTTGTTTCTTTTAACGACGCACTCGGTAATATTCCACCTATATTACGGCGGTCTGTAATTAATCGAGTCTTGACCTGACAAGCCAGTGATTGACATAATGAACATCGATCCACGCAATTTGAATCTATCATCCTGGCTAGGAAATATTTTTGTTGTTTGTTGTTTAGCGCCGCTGTTCCAGCTATATGACGGCGGTCTGGACCAGACAATCCAGTGATTGACATCATGAGCATCGATCAACACAATTGGGATCGATGACATGCATCAACCAAGTCAGTGTGCCTGACCACCCGATCCCGTTAGTCACCTCTTACGACAAGCATAGTCGTCTGTGGCGACAAGCATGGGTTGCTGAAGACATATTCTACATTGGATCTTCACGGGTCGAGTGTACTGTTACATCTACGGCGAATTATTATCTTCGTTGAAAAACCTTCACCTTTTCACAATGAAACGTTCCGCGTTTGTTTTGCATGCATGAGACATGTCGTTTTTGTTAAAAAAATGACGCATCGGTTACATTGGTATAACGCCCTTGCCTCGGTCTTACTTCCTCGACCATATCGAGTCGTGCATATCCTTCACATAAAGGTGGAGGCAGTTAATATAGTTGAACGTTATGTCAGCGTTGATCTCAACAGCGGAATTAGCTCATATCGAGTAAAACGATGCGTCCAAACTTCTTCATGCTCGATTGCATCTCAAAAGTTGTGAAATGTAAACACCAAAGGCTGGAGCTGTTGGAATAGTGCTCGACATGAATTCTGATTGATTGTTTGTTTGTTGTTTAACGTCACACCCAGCAATATGCCAGCTATTGTCGGCGGTTTGTAAAAAAATCAGTCTTGACCAGACAATCCAGTGACTGATATCATGAGCATCGATTTTCGCAATTGGGATGCGATGACATGCATCGACGACCTGATCCCGTTGGAAAATGGGATGTTATGCTGCTGGAGGTGAGCACTGACGAATCGTGCACGGTGAACACTGGCGTTGACGTCCTGAGGGACAAAACGTCGACCTACACGCCTTGCAAGCGGGACAACAAAGGGTGTCAGTATGTTGTCTCGACAGAACTGTCCAGTGGCTCTTCCCTATGGAATACTGTAAGGGACATTCTCGCGATCTCGCATTCTCGCGATCTCGACCTTTGGAAACGAGGTAAATATGCCCAAAACACGAGAATGCGAGATCGCGAGAACGCGAGATTTGGTCAAAATCTCGCGTTCTCGCGATCTCGCATTATCGTGTTTTTGGTACATAGCACTTTTTGTCAAAAGTCGACAACGCGAGAATGCGACATTTGGACATGATGCAAAATCTCGCAATCTCGCAATCTCGCATTCTCGTGTTTTGGGCATATTTACCTCGTTTCCAAAGGTCGAGATCGCGAGAATGCGAGATCGCGAGAAGGCCCTTACAGTATTCCATACTTCCCTGCACGCTGTGAAGCGGGGTTCGTTCAATCACAGTGATGCCACCCCACACCATAACCGATCCACCGCCAAATTTGTCACAGGTTGACATCAGCCTGACGTTCATTTCGACGCCGCCAGACACGACCACGCCTATCAAGTAAGTGCGAAGTAAATCGGGGCTCATCTGAAATCATGACACGTGACCAGCGACGATTAACACGAGGCCGTCGAGCATGAGTGAGTGTGTATGGTTTTACGCCGCTTTTAGCAATATTCCAGCAATATCACGGCGGGGGACACCAGAAATGGGCTTCACACATTGTACCCATGTCGGGAATCGAACCCGGGTCTTCAGCGTGACGAGCGAACGCTTTAACCACTAGGCTACCCGACCGCCCCCGTCGAGCATGAAGATGAGCTGCATGTAGACGATTTCTAATCCTCTGACCCATAATTTGTACTCCAGTAGCCTCATGAAAGTTTGCAGCAATTCCATCCCGTTTGAGCTCCAGCTGGTTTCGGATCAGTCGATCCTGTACTCTTGTCGTTGACCTGGGACGCCCTGAACGAGGTCGATTGGTCTGATGGTACCTGTTCCATAGTCTGCTAATGACAAATTATGAAACATTGAACTTGATGGCCACTGCACGCTGACGACTCTCTTTCTCAGATTCCAGCATTCCAGCATGCCAATAAACCGTAGACCGTCCGCGCATTGCAGACGCCGCATAGCTAGTTCATACACAAACAATGAATGAAATGAAGTAAATCACAACTGTATGATAAGCAGAATAATTAATTTTGACAGTAATAATCCACCTTCCACGAGTGTCAGAATCAGGAATGACATGCTAAGAACGGGTGTGGTGCTACTACTTATCGGATGTGTTTCAGTGTTAATGTTAGACAAAAACGTATTTGCGTGGAATATTCATCGTCAACACGCATCTTTGTTCTGATACTTGGTATGAACCTTTATATTTCATGATCCGACCCGTGAAGATCCGATGTAGAATAGGTCTTCAGCAACCCATGCTTGCCGTAAAAGGCAACTATGCTTGTCGTAAGAGGCGACTAACGGGATCGGGCGATGAGGCTCGCTCACATGGTTGATGCATTTCATCGTATCCCAATTGCGTAGATGGATGCTCATGATGTCAATTATCACTGGATTGTCTGGTCCAGACTCGATTATTTACAGACCGCCGTGATATAGCTGGAATATTGCTGAGTGCGGCGTTAAACAACAAACAAACAAACAAATATTTTATGATCCCCTACTTTTGTTGAAGAGTATATAACAAATTTGTCAACTTGATGAGAGAGGCAAGCCCGAAGTGATGCAGGTCATACATATTTGCCTCTTTGGTGAAACCATCGAGAACGGATGTGTTGCTGATAAATCTAAAAACATAATCAGATCGTACGGGAATTCGAACCCATCTTTCCAAACTGCTAAGAGATATCAGTGGTATCGTGGTATCATAGCATCAAGAGAGGATATTCTCAAAAGAGACGTG